AATGTGCAGATCTGTCCTTGCAGAGGAGGGAGAACTTGTACCTGAATAAAACTTGGTCTTAGAGGTGCCATTGGACTGTTTTGAATTGCTAGCTATGGGGGGGGGGAATGTGCAGATCTGTCCTCGCAGAGGAGGGAGAGCTTGTACCTGAATAAAACTTGGTCTTAGAGGTGCCATTGGACTGTTTTGAATTGCTAGCTATGGGGGGGGGGAATGTGCAGATCTGTCCTCGCAGAGGAGGGAGAGCTTGTACCTGAATAAAACTTGGTCTTAAAGGTGCCACTGGACTGTTTTGGAGGGGGGGGGCTCTGCAACTTACCTGGCTGCTTCTTGCTCTGACTGAGGGCTGCTGGGAGCAGGGGGTGGGGCTTGTTGCATGTGCCCGCCCCCTGGGCTCTTTACTGCCGGAGCTCTGCTCCTGTGCGCTCCTGCAGGAAATGATCCCTGGTTGGAACACTTTCCCTGTGTGAGGAAAGGTTAAGGCGCTTGGGGGCTTGGAGAAAGGACAGCTGAGGGGCAATGCTCCCTCTAAGCTGTGGAGCCTTGTGAGCAAAAATCCAACTTTGTGAGCTACTGGCATGGAAGTTGTGAGCGAATGATCTGGCTGCTGCACAAATCAGTGTGCTCCGGACTGGAGCCCTCCTCCCTGAGCGAAGATAAAAATGTGTGAGCCGGAGGCTAAAATACTCTGAGCTAGCTCACACTCACTCAGCTTAGAGGGAACACTGCTGAGGGGTGACATGGTCCGAGGTTTATAAGATGATGCGTGGGATAGGGCAGGTCGAGAAAGAGGTCCTTTTCTCCCTTTCTCACAAGACAAGAACTCCTTGTGGGCACTCCATGAAATTGCTGAGCGGTCGGGTTAGAAGGGATAAAAAGGAAGTACTTTATAATGTACGGGGTTCAGGACGCATAGTCGAGTGATTTCCGCTCATAATTTATTAGTAGGCAAAACTGAGACAAAAAAACAGCAGGACCCCGGGGGTCTGCTTGTATGTCGGTCCGTCCCACACCCAGCAAACACACCCCACACCCCTGATAGGTTTATTTACAGTGCACCAATAACCTTAGGCAGGGGTCATTTCGTAGAAAAAGAGGTGCAGGAGCTCATAAACATAACTCATTAGCATAACTCATTAGCATAATTTATTTGTATATGCCACACCCCCTGACATCACCGGAAGTGTCAGAAGGCAACACCCACCGTTCCGGCTCCACTGGACTGTTTTGGATTGCTGGCTACTGGGGGGGGGAACGTGCAGATCTGTTCTCGCAGAGGAGGGAGAGCTTGTACCTGAATAAAACTTGGTCTTAAAGGTGCCACTGGACTGTTTTGGATTGCTAGCTATTGGGGGGGGGTGCAGATCTGTCCTCGCAGAGGAGGGAGAGCTTGTACCTGGATAAAACTTGGTCTTAAAGGTGCCACGGGACTGTTTTGGATTTGCTAGCTATTGGGAGGGGGACGTGCAGCTCTGTCTTCACAGAAGAGGGAGAGCTTGTACCTGGATAAAACTTGGTCTTAAAGGTGCCACTGGACTGTTTTGGATTGCTAGCTATTGGGGGGGGGAGTGCAGATCTGTCTTCACAGAGGAGGGAGAGCTTGTATCTGGATAAAACTTGGTCTTAAAGGTGCCACTGGACTGTTTTGGATTGCTAGCTATTGGGGGGGGGGTGCAGGATCTGTCTTCACAGAGGAGGGAGAGCTTGTATCTGGATAAAACTTGGTCTTAAAGGTGCCACTGGACTGTTTTGGATTGCAACTTACCTGGCTGCTTCTTGCTCCTCGTGGCCTGATTGAGCAGGGGGCGGGGCTTGTTGCATGGGCCCGCCCCCTGGGCTCCTTACTGCCGGAGCTCCGTTCCTGTGTGCTCCCGCAGGAAATGACCCCTGTCCAAACCCCACCTGGAGGTTGGGAACAGGGACTAGAGTGCCTCCCCCTCGCTCGTATAAACTGAAGAGCAGGAATAGTTTGCTGGCAAACTTGGGTCACACGCAGCCCTTCTACATTTTTGGAATTCAGGCCCAGGAGAAAAGAGATTTTTGTGGCCACGTGATGGGCTTCCTCAATGAGATCCAAAGGCCTCTGGGGTTGTCCTGTGGGGGCCTTCCTGGCTTTCGACCTCTTTCCCCTCCACAAACCCCACCCTTCCCAAGCTCCGCCCCCCAAAATCTCCTGGGATTTCCCCAAACTGGAGGTGGCGACCCTACAAAGCCCCTCCTCTCCGCAAACCCCACTCTTCTCTTTCCGGACTCCACCCCCGA